TTTAGTAGGCGAGAAAGGAAAGAAACCCAAGCAACCTCTCTCCAGAGAAGTTGTGACTCAAAGGAGAACAACAGGTACTTCAGTGTTGATACTCCATTTCCTGCGACCTTAGGGAAAAGGGATGGGTGTTGGATCACTTGCTGTGGTTTTAAAAGAGGGAAAGGGAGGAGGGGCTGGGGTAAAGCGCGGCAGGTTTCACAGGGCCTGGGAATTGCCGGCTCCTGTCCGTTTAGGGGGCATCAGTGAGCCCAGCACACGGCACAACCACGCACAGCCCGGTACAGGTGAAAGCAGGAGGCACACCTCTAATGTATCTCAAACAGCTAGACCCAATAATATAGAAATATACTCAAGCTGTCCACATGCAGCTTCCCTTGGAGACATACTTGACTATTGATTATTGTAAAAGACTAATGCTATAGCAAGAGCTTTATGGCCAGTGTTGCGTCATTTGCTATTTAAGTTTCGTTGCCATATTTACTTTTATTTTGTAATAAATATTTTGCAAAAACTACGCTGCGTAGCGTGCTGTGCTAACACACATGTGCGTGGCGCCGGCTGTTGCTTCCCGGTGACTTTGCACGCCCTGCCTCGCTGGGTCTGCTGGGCTTCCCCCAGCGTGGGCCAGCTCGCCCAGGCGAGGGGCCGGATGCCCGAGGGGCGCTCGCCCCCGCCGCCGCCCAGCCCTGCTGCCGGAGAGGGCCGCTTTGCAGCACGAGCAGGACAACCGGGTGGGGATTTGAGTCCCAGGGGCGACAGCCCGACTCACGTGCAACCAAAATCACAGTCTGTTGCCGAAGCTGAACCTGCCTGCAGCTGCCCCTCTGCGACCAGCGCCTTCTGTCTGAATCGCTCACGGAAAATGCTGGCTCCGCGTGTGGCTTTGCTGAATATTAAGATGTTTGCCATTTGGAAGAGGCAACGAGTTGTGGGGTGATACAAGTCTGCCGAGTTACTCAGCGGTAGGAAGCCTCACGATAGTGGAAAACTACATGTGAAGTGACAGCTGAAGCTTGGTGTGAATATACATAATACACAGGGAGGAAAAAAGAGTCCTAACTGCATCCCTCCAGGGAAAAGTTCTTTGGAATTACGACACAGAGTCCTACGCAAATGTCACCCACTGCCTGGTAGCAGTCCCCAGAAAAGCACACAAGAGAATGACAAGGACCGTATCAGCAAAGGGAAGCTTGTTCCAGCCCTGAGAATCTGGAAGTGACCATGGAGAAAAGCTTCCCAATGAATTAATCTTTTTGTATCCCGTTCCTATAAAGAGCCTACATTTGATCTCATTTACACTGTGCTGGCAGAACTCCAGTGGCATCAGCCAAGCGAACTAATTTAGTCCTGCTTAAGCAGGATCAAAGTCAGGCTCTGGCTCTGGCAGGCGTTAACACCTGTGCTTTCAGCAGAACTTGTTAAGCAAGAATTCCCTAAGGATTTGATTCATTTTCCCATATTTCAGCAACATTTTCAGTGGAAGATAATTTTTCTTACTGACAGTTGGGACTAAGATCTTTTGTGTAAAACAAAACTCTGAAGCGTGTCTTTGATTATAGCAGGATTAATGAAATTAATTACTCCAGTGTTGCCTATAACTCACATTAGATTAACACACATTATTTCATTAGGCCTTTCTGCACCACTCAGTTGTGAAGGAATGGCAAACTTTTGTTGTATCTCACAGCAAAAGAACCCCAAAAGAACCCGGTATCTTCTGACTGAAACTGAATTTAGGATAAGAAATACCTCAGCTGGTACTGCCAAGAAGTGATGTGTTTCCTCTTCAGGTCAGCGACGAGCAGGTGACATTTGTTCCTGCACTCAATCAAAGCGTTTCAGGTTTTCTTCCCCACACAGCTGGTACGACTTCCAGAGGGCGATGTCCGAGGGCCAAAGGCAGGAGAGGCTTGCAGGGCACCAGCACCTTGCCAAGGCAAGTGGCAGCACATCAGTAAATGTGTGAAAGTTCCTCAAAATAGTCAGGAAAACGTTCCTGGTTTTCTTAACGAAACTCCTGACCACCAACAAAGCAACCTGACTTCGAAACGACAGTGAAGCGCCCCGGGAGCACTCTGCCTGGGAGCCGGCAGCAGCGAGAGCTCGCAGCAGGCCGAGGTCCCTGCCACAGGGAGCTCACCTGCCGCCCGGCCAGGTGGCCACAGACGGCACAGCTTGGCCGACGCCAGCACCCCTGGGAGCGGTCAGCCGCAGAAGGTGATATGAGCGACCAAGAGCTGTGCCTGTGAAGGACTTTTTGTGTTGAGTCGCTATGCTATAGTTTTGACTGTTCTCCCTAAAAACAATTTCCACTTTTAAGCACAAAGAAAACCGCAAAAACTCCTAGGGACCGGGGACTCTATAGCAAGAGTACGGCACAACCCGAGCGGTTCCCGCCTGTGGCTGTGCCGGCACTGGGCCGCGTGCTGTAGGACAGGCGCTCGCCTCCACCCGTGCCGCAGCACCAGCTGCGCCGCAGCCAGAAGCCAAAGCTCTGGCAATGCCAGGGCCTGCACCAACCCGCCACGGAAGCCATTCCCCAGGACCCTGGTGCTACCAGCACCAACACCAGTTGAGCAGCGTGTCCAAACGCTGCACTAATACCACGGGCTATGCCTCAATATACTCTTTCCATGTTTAAAAATGAGTAGGACTTAGGTATTTTGTTGTGGAACTCATGTGCTCGTCAGACAACTGCCAATCCTGACACCAAGTCCTGATACCGCAGCACACGCGCCTTGTCCTAAGGCGACCCTAAGGCCTGTGTTCGCTTGCGAAGGACGTACCTGAAGAAAATTGCTTGCTTCTATTCTCCAGGCAAATTCCTCGGAGGGGTTCAACAGCACCGGGTCCTACAGGAGACATCAGCCGCGGGTGCGTGACAAGCACGGCACACAGCCGCCAAATCTGTCGGGCAGGTGCTTCGGGTGCAGGTGCTTCACGCCCAAGCAGGCGCCTCAGCCCGGGGTTTGTGACCGGTGTCCCACCTTCCGCCCAAGGCCCCCAGCCCGTCCCCGGGAGTTCGCCCCGCTCGGCGCAGCGGCGGGCAGGAGGCGGCCGGACGAAGGCCG